CCTCTACGAGGACTCCATACCCCTAGATCTACTTGCCGTCTATACCTACTACATGCTACTACTACACCAATCCTCAGTCTACTACTACCTCATAGAGCCCGATATCAAGCGATCCCTCATAGCCTCACGATCCCGTTCTGCTACTGCTAACCTACATGATCAACACTAATCCACCAACTATACTCGTCTGCTCGCCCTCCTACTACTACTACTACTTCTGAGTATCCACGATAGCAGGTGGTACCGCCGTAAGCCTATTGAGCATCTTCTTATTCTGATGAGCTAAACCACCCCATTGACGATACTCTTGCTGCCTTCTCTGTGTAGCCTCTTCTATTGCCTCTCCCTTGACAATAATCATCATATATAAGTGATGGTGTAGTCGTCGTCGTACATGATACATTTTGTTACAAGTACGCTGTGCTTGTCTCTTTCTCTCCTTATCTATGTTTAGCATCTTATCGAGTAGTATACGATTCTCTAGCTGTATCTCGGCATTCCTCTCTTCCATTATCAACTTAGCCTTCCTCTTGTTCTTCAAATGCGACATCTCCTTTGGGGGCTTATTATCGATACCTATACCATCATCAACACATACCAATATGACTTAGACTACTCGACTTCACACTATCCAACGCTATTAGATGCTTCTTGTGCCTATCACGTTCTGCTCGTTCAAAACATACCCTACTCCCACCACTGGTGACACTAACAATGACACTCTATATCCCTCTTATTGCATGATATTATTAGATCACTTCCATATGTTAGTGATGAGGCCACTTCTCTTATCTTTGCCTTCCTTACGCATTATAGGCAACGAGAAGGCCAACGATACTACCGAGCTCAGGCTGACTCAGGCTTATTACCAGTCCGACAACTATAACACAAGATAAGATACTGGAGCAAAGGTACAGACAACAACCGCGCTACTGTTTCCCAAGCCTAATCTATGATGACCCTGGTTGTTGTTGAATGAATGATGATAGGTAAGAAGTAGCCAATATAACTAGCACCAGGATAATGATGATCATAACGAGAGTGACAACAACGCGGATATGGATGAATGATGATGATGATGATAGAGACAATAAAGAACAAGACCATCGGATCGTGAGTAGTTGCAGATATAACGAGATGATGTCGACAGGTTCAATTATGCACAAGGTTCTTAGCATTCGAGACAACAGCAATAAAAGCTGTGATGGCAATGAGAGTAGGGCAGGTGTGATCTCATCACACTGTAGAGGAATGTAGCCTTAAGAGTACAGCCAACATGATGATACAGTCAACAACTTCATAACTGTACTCATTGCTGCTGCTGCTGTTCATAGTGATACCAAATAGCTACCTTCATTGCTGTTAGCATCACTAATACGAATAGACCTACTGAGCAGTCTATCGGCACAGATGATAAGTATTACAGTAGGATATGTATCATAGTAATGCTACACCAACGATAGTATCACGAGCAGCACTAGAGAGGATGGCGAGAAGAGAAAGGTGGTGGTGGTGGTGATGATGGTCCTGTAAGTGCGGCAAA